AGAGCCCTCACCCCCTCCTGCACCCTAACCCTCTGCCTCAGCACAGTGAAAGTGAGTGAGGGTAGGGGAAAGCAAGCCACAATGGGGGGCAGGGGGGAGGGAATGTAGTGAGCGGGGGCAGGGCCTCAGGGAAGGGGCGGAGCTAGAGTGTTCGGTTTTGTGGGATTAGAAAGTTGGCAACCCTAACAGAGATGCAGTATGAGATAGGCAAATTGTTATTGTATTTTATGTCATTTTTCTGTGAGCACATAAGGGGAGGAAATCCTAAACAAAATTTTAAGGTAAAAAGCAAGACAAATGTCACAAATCATGCTAATTTCTCCTTATGCAATGTCATGTACACTGCAACTTCCTTGAGGGTAGAAAAACAATTGGGTATTGGATGCATTTCAAATCTGAATTCTGCAATCATGCCAAGCATTATGTTTAAGTCAAGACATCATATATTTCAGAAGCACACGTGAATAACATCAGAAAATCCAATATATTTAGCTGAAACACTATACAATTAGAATTCTGTGGTTGGTGTTTTAAGATAAAAAAAATTATGCCCTATTTCAAATCTACTAATATTAAAATTGAAAACATGCCAAAGTTATATAAGTATTTTTCAATAATTTCTTCAGGGGTATTTTTCCCCTAGAACTTCTGTGACTTCCCTAATAATATTGTATTGTATACATTTTGCCAATATCCTCTTGGATTCCAACCACTTAGTAGATTCCAACATATGTTGTTAAAAGAATACCCGGTATATTTTCTGGTATAATTTTCTTTAAATCAATTTCTTGTAATTTTTGGGTTTACAAAAATTTCTCCCCCAGAAAAAAAAAAATATTGTGCTTTTATTCACTTTACTCTTTACACACTTATTTTTTTACTCTTGTATTTGAACTTCTGCTGTCATTTAACAAGTAGTTAGGCATATAAATAAATAGTGTCTATCTAACATTCTTCATATTAAAATAACTTCTTCTATTAAAATCATCTGTTGACTACAGGGAAATTCTGATGCAACTTCTCAAGGAAAATGCGGTATGTCTAAATATTAATTATTTAGTGTTCCAATGTGCACAGCACTGTTCAAAAGGTCCAGTCCTGCAACGGGCTGAGAATCCCCAACTCTCACTGATTTCAGTGGGAGAAATAGGTATGTGCTGGATGTGCAAGTCAGTACCTTCTCCAAGGAAGGTATTTTCAATCTACTTTTAAAATATACAGCATAGTTTATTTTAATGGCACAGTTTTAGCTTGTACATGGAATCTTTAAAAACCTGTTTTTTCCCCCGACTTTCTTTATTTGTCCCAATTCAGCTATTTCTTTTTCATTAATTGGAAGAGCTTATGAGGTTATACCCTCAACTTGATGGCATTTCTCTGTAATTTGATTGCTTTAGAATGCAATATCTGATCAATTCCAAAATATTCTTGGCATCAACGGCCAGAACCCTAATAATTTTGGTGAAAATCAGAAAGGAGGAAAATGGGGAACACATGTAGCCCATGACATCTGCTAGCACAGTCAGAGCTTCAAGGACCTGTGCAATTATCTAAAGATCAAACAACTCTTTAAGGGCACCCATTAACACCTTTCAGCCTCAGAATACCTCATCTCCCCTCTACCCATTCTTCCCCATAGAGTTTATCATGTTGACACCATGAATGACTTATCTCCCAGACAAATAATAATGGCGGGGAACGGAGGAAGAGGGGGAAAGAGAAGTGAAGAGGAAAGGGGAAAATGGGGGTGTGCATCTAGCCCCTGGCAGATGCGAGGAGGGGGAATGAGGGACACTGGTGTGTGTGTTAGGAAGTGATGGAAGACACACAACTCCTGGTGAGGAGAAATTGTGGGGCCCGAGTATGAAGGAGGGAACACAGATTGTCCCTGGCATGGAGGGGCATGGATGGCATACAGAACCCCTGGAATGAGGGTAGGAGGAAATGGGAGGTGCAAACAGATGCTGGCACGGATGGACAATAAGGGACCCTGGTATGAGAGGAAGGTCAATGAGGGAGCACAAAGAACCACTGATGGGGAGGGGAGGGAAGATTGGGGGTGACACAGAGACGCTGGTATGAGGGAAGAATGGAGGACTCTGCTATGGGAGGAGGGGAGATGGGGGACAGATCAAACCCCTGGCAGGGGAGAGACTGGGGAATCACTGAAATAGAGCAACAAAGAGTCCTGTGGCACCTTAAAGACTAACAGATGTAGTGGAGCATAAGCTTTTGTGGGTGAATACCCACTTCGTCAGATGCAACGTCTATAAGGTGCCACAGGACTCTTTGTTGCTTTTTACAGATCCAGACTAACACGGCTACCCCTCTGATCCTGAAATAGAGGGAGCTAGAAGGTGGCACACAGGGAGCTGGAGAGGGGAGGAATGGGGAGATGCAAGGAGCCCTGGTGTGCACAGTGAGCTCTGCCTAAACAAGTTACAAAGTGTGCTACCCCCTAGATATTTTACTCTTTCAGCCACAAACGTTAATTGTTATAAATTATGTGTTAACAATGGTCAAGTGCCTCTATGTTATGATCATGTAATAAATGACAGTTTAGAAATTTAAATTTCTAGTTTCATTTTCATTATAAAGTTTCCTAAATCCTGGCCATGTGTAAACGTGAAAAAGCTTAACTATCCTAACTGCACTACAAATAAAATCAGCTCTCTGATGACTTAATTGTACCTTAATGTGTCTTTGATGATAGCATGCTTTCACGATTAAGTTATTGTTCACTTCTCTTTTAAAAAACACACACACAAACACCCCCCCCCACAGAGACCATTTACTCCTGCCCTCTGAGGAAGCATATATCATAGCTGAAGAGACCAAAATTACTACAACAACTGTGGATGTACTGCTCAATGGAAAAAAAAAATCTCCAATAAGAAAAAAAATTACATATCTTGTTAGCAATTTATAACGATGCAAACACAGTAAGTTTTACTGAGCTATACCAGAAATATAAGGTCATGCAAATCCTCTTAAATTTTTTTATATTAGTGGCTGAATGAATACAGACTGACAGTTGCCTGCATGTTTCTCCTGATAAACACTATACTTTTGTCTCCATGTGAATCTGAACCTCTCTTTGGCTAGAGGCTCCATAAACACACACCAAAACAACTTACTCTTCTGCATACAGTAGCCAGTAATAATTTGAATATGACAATTAAAAACTTCTCACTAACTACAGGATGGGAAGCAAAGCTAAATGATTATTCCCATCTTAAAAACTCAAATGTAATTTCATATTCTCTGGTGGATTTAAAAAATTAAATAAAATACACTCATAGCATCATTCTTGGAAAACAAACAGAGTGATACACAGAAAGATTTAATGTAGGTTGGGCGTTAAGGTGCATTAGTCCTCAGAGACATAAGAAGGGAAGAGCACAGTACAGAGAATCATTATTTCCAACACCAGATAAGACAACTGGGAAATAAGACAAAGCACAGCTAAAACAAGGGCTGTATGTATTTCACTTGTTTAAAGAACATACCTGTACACTATTTCCTTGTGTTTGGTGAGACAGTCTGGCATTTGGTAATGGAGAATGAGATCCCAATTTTCTATCCAAAAATACCTCTTTGCTACATGTATAACACCAGACACGCAGGGTGGTAAGGTTGACAGTTAAACAGTGCTTTGTGTCCTAAAACAGAAGAAAAAAATCATTTCGGAACTTACATTAAACCTCAATGTGTCCAAGCCAGAATTGTATTAATATCTGAAATCTTTCAAAAAAGACTAATATCTACAAGGTAAAAATATTAAATTTTAGCAGCAATTCAGCTGTTCCTGAAACCCAAGCTTTTAACTCGCAACACCTAGATTGAAGGGGTCCAAACCACATCAAAAACACCATCCAAGAGGTATGTCTGCTTTAACTATCAGTACAATCTGAAAAGAGAAGATCTCAGTGTTGTCCATAATCATCTTAAACTGTTGCAATGCACTCACCAAGAAAGTATCTGGATATTGGTAGGGCCCTATCAAATTCATGGTCCATTTTGGTCAATTTCATGGCCAGATGATTTTAAAATTAGTCAATTTCACATTTTCAGATATTTACATCTGAAATTTCATGGTTTTGTAACCGTAGGGGTCCTGACCCAAAGGCAGTCAGGGTGGGAGGGTCATAAGGCTATTGTAGGGGGGGGGGGCAGGGGAAGAGGAAGTCTCGTCCCTCCCCATCCCCAGCTGGAACTAACAGCTGGAGCCCTGCGCAGGGTAGGAGTCCCCAGCCCCGTGCAAGATTTCAGGGGGGAGATCAGATTTCATGGTCTGTGATGCGTTTTTCACAGCCATGAATTACCAATACCCAGGGCCCTACCAATGGGATAGAGTTTGTTTTCACTTCTAGGTCAGTATTTAAAAATCTCCCCTGGAGATAGCAAGTAATCAAGCCTTGGGCCCTTAAACAGCTGTCATATGGGAACGTAAAATGAGACATTTTAGTTCAGTTCTTAGAAAACTACAAACAAGACTGTCAGATACCACAAAATGTTGGGGATATATCCTGAATCCAGTTAGTCAAACTGTTATAGCAGAAAGGACTTTTAAGTACAGTCTATGTACTCAGAACTGCCCCCAAAAATCAAGATTTATCTCAAATTGTAAACATTAGAACAGTAGCATGTGTGTTCTCATCAGATATACAATGGATGACAATCCTATGGCTGATTTGCTCGGGTTCAAGCATGTAGTTATGTTCAAGCAGAATAATGAAAGGGCGGGTCTCAAGCATGCTGCCTTATAAAGCCTAAGTTCTTTGCTGTTTCTTATCTCATACAGGTCAGTGTTAGTCTAACTATAACTTAGCATTTTGGATTTAGTCCAACAAATATCTGGAGTTAAATGATGGTAGAAAAGGACGTTTACCCCTCAGGTCCCTCATGTAGGAATTTCCAAGCCTGTGAGACAGAGGTCCCCAAAGTGTGGGTCGCACCCTCCACGGGGGGCATGGAGGAACGTCCGGAGAGGTGCGGCGGGTCCCAGCCACCCCCAGCTCCAGTTCTGCCCCCAGCTTCAGCACGGCTGTGCTCCCAGCCGCGCGGCAGCCCGCAGCCTTGGCCGCTGACTGCGTCTCTGTTCCCAGCCCGGGGCAGAGGCTGGGGACGAGGCTGCGAGCGGAGCTGCACCTGGCTATGGGCCTGTCTGCTGGCCTCCGCTGCAGCCTGGCTACAGCTCCGCTCCCACTCTTGCCCTAAGCCTTGACCCCTGGCCGCGGCCCCAGACCCATGCCCAGCCTTGGCCCCCTTAACCCTGTCGATATCCCTCCCTCCCTTCCCGAGGAGCCACAGCACTGCTCTAGGCTCGCGGGGGGGGGGAGAGGGGGGGGAAGGGCACGGACAGGGATAAGGGGGGGGTGCAACTCTCAAAAGTTTGGGGACTGCTGCTGTAAGAGCGGACCCAGAAGCTCCTGTCTCGGTATCCCTAACACAATGTATTTTCATCCAATACTCCTTTCTTCTTTGATCTCTCCATCTGAATTCCTTCTCTCTGATCACCACCTCCCCTCATTCAACATCACACCACACATTTGTCCCATCCCTGCCCTGTCACTGGGCCTTCTGCAACCTCCAGTCTATCAATGTTCATGAATTCTCTACTAGATCAGGCCGCTCCTCCCAACCCTCTTGTCCACTCTCCACTCTGCTTTTTCCTCCACCCATGCCCCTTTCAACCACAGTGAAGTCCATTACACCAATTCCAAACCTGTCTTGCTCCCAGCATCTGCTCTCTCCATTACTGTCCTTGTGCTGCTGAACATCCTGGGACCTCACTAACTTCCTCCACTGCAGATTCCCTCTCCTTCAACTATCATCTCCCTGGCCAAGCAACTACACTTCTCCCACATTGAGTCCCATGCCCACAGTCCCAATCACTTCTTGGCACCATTCAAGTCCCTCCTTAAATCTCTCCCCTTCCTATCTCTCTGCACAGGATCTTGCAGACTTTCAGAGAGAGAAAAACAAAAACAAACAAACAAAATCAACAAAATCCACCAGGAATCTCCCCCTTGCACCTCCTCTTCCCTTTCTCCTGTCACCAGCTTTAAGGTCTTTTGCCTTTTCTCCTATAAACACCCATATCTTCCCCAGTGATCCCATTCCTCTTCCCGTCTCCTTACTTCTATTGCTCATTCTTCCCTTATCCTTCTTTCTCAACCTCTTCCATTACAATATGAACAATGTCCTGGTCTCCAAAAACCACCCCTCAGTCCTACCTACGCCTCCAGCTAAAACCCCATATTGCTCATGCCTTTAAACTCCTTGAACAGTCTACTATCAATGCAGTCACTTCTCCTCCAATCCAGTCTTGGACCCCCTCCATCTGGCTTCCAGTGTTTCCACTCTACTGAAACCTCTCTTTCTAGGGTCTCCAATTATTTCTTCCTACACAAATCTCAGCCTCTACTCTGCCTTCATCCCCTTTGATCTTCCTGCTGTGTTTAATATTATAGATCATCCTCTCCTTGCTTTCATATCCTCACATTGGGCTTTCCAGATACTGCCCTCTCTCCTGGGTCTCCTCTTACCTCTCTGACCATTCCTTCAGTGGATCCACCTCCTTTCTCTCACTCTGTGAGAGGGCTCTGTCCTTGGCACTTTGATCTTCTGACTTTAAACCTTATTTTTGGGCAATAATCGGTTCACATGGCTTCAGCAGTCGCCTCTGGGCTGATGGCTTACAAATCTCTCTCCAGCACTAAGTCTCCTATCCATCTGCACACTTATCTTCTTTCTCCAACATCTCTCCTCCTGGATGTCTTAAATAGAACATGGTCAAAACCCAACTCCTTATCTCTTCTCAAACCTTCTCCTCTTCCCTCTTTTTCTATCACTATTGATAATGTCATCCTCCTCCCTGTCACTCAGGTCTGCAATCTCAGTCATTTTTAATTCCTCCTTTCCTTTGTCCCAAGCTATTTCCAAATCTGCCACTTCCTCTTCAATATCTCCAACATCTGTCCTTCTCTCTCCAGTCAAATATCTCATTCAGATCTTAATTACTCCACGTCCCAGAGGCCTCTTCTCCAGCCACCCAAAAACACACGGTGAGCATTCTCTCTCTCTCTCACACGCATACACACAGTGAGCAATCTCACACACATGATGAATGCTTTCTCTCTCAAACACACGGTGAGCGCTGCTGGCTAAACTTACATTGCTTGGCTATTGATTTGATCGTAACTTCCCGCTCTGAATCCCCCTGCTGGCTCCCCATTTGCTACTGCATCACCTTTAAGCTTCTTGTCACCACTTACACAGCTCTGTCTCTCCCTACTTACTCTCTCTTAACAAGCTTCATGTTGCCCCTGTCCCCTTTGCTCCACCAAGTCTCCAAGCCTCTTCTGACAGTTTGCCAGCTTCTCACATAAATCAACCCTGTGGATTCTTCCACATGGCCTTCTATGCATGATATGATATTCCCAAGCTCATCCTCAAAGCGGTACATTGTCACATTTAAGGGTAGCTGAAAAACTCCTCACATGTTGCCTACAGTGACTCAAACAATACCATATATAAAAATTGTAAGCTTCTCATTACAGGAGTGTTCAGAAAGTGCACAACACATGCAGGTGCTATCATAAATAATGGCATGGAAACAGCCTTGCTGTTGCACAAGGTTCAAAGACACTCTTTTCCACACACACACACACACACACACACACCCTTCGCACCTTCCTTCCCTCATATGACCACTCCACCCGAGTCCCTGCGCACAGCCTACTATGGTACTTTAATAGTACACAGAGCTTTGGGGCAAAGTACACTTCTTGTGCAAGCTGTTGTAAGCTACAGATAAAATTTTCTCTGTTAATATGTGTTTTTGACTTGCAGACTTTTGGATAACAAAGCTGCCAGAAACAGTGACATTTCCTACATTCATTTTCAGCAGAGTAACTGAAATAATTAAGTAGAACTTCCTTAATTATCAGGATTAGCCTTCACCTGCAGCTTCAGCTATGTAGAAGCCTACAATAAACTGCTACAAACCTCTGCAGCAAGGGCTCAATATTCTCAAAGTGGAGGAGCTAAAAATAATTATTTCTAGCACAGTCAAATGCAAGAGAGATAAAGCAAGGAAGCTAGTGAAAATGAGAGGGAGTGACAAACTGACATCAACCTTAATTGTTTCTCAAGCTAGAAAGGCCATTTCAGGGATTTTTTACTCCACATATCAAGTAACAAAGAGCAGAAATGGCTATCTAGAATACTAGAGGGATGGATTAAATGGATAAAAAGAGCTTCAGTTAGCTATGGGCTATTGTCCAGAAATTAAAGGAAACTGAACAAGAATGTGAGACGTTGTTAGAAATGATAGCAGATAAATCTACCTTTCCCTTTGTGCTACCTGAAAAACACAAACACTAATTTAGGGTGCAAGGAGGCAGCAATAAACTTCAGTACAATGCCAAGAGGTTTATAAATGTTTATAAGAAATGCAAGGTACCACCCACTCCACAAATGCCCTACAAGAAGCTCGCACAATATATCATTTTACTTAAAAGTTGTAAAACTGATCTTTAATGCTAGTCATTAGCAAATCAGATTGTGATATAATCCTAATATAGTATCTCAATGTCTAAATATTAGCTATATTATAGTAACACACTAAGGCTAATTCCTGATTGATACGCTATCCTGCAGTGAACAGTAAAAAAAGATCCGTACCCCATGATTATTCTAATTAAAGATAAGCTGCAAGAAGTAAAATAGGAGAGAATACTGAAGGGTGGGAAAGGAGAAAGAGGATGAGGGTAAGAGTAAGTTTCTTCCTAAACAATCCTGAAAGCAGTATACTTTTCGATATCTTTTGCTACAGAGCTTTTTGGGATACTGATCTATGGAATTTAGATACTGGTGTTGTTAATGAAATCAAAGTTTTTAATCGCTTGTGTACATCCATTCTCCAACATGTTGAAACACATTTATATAAGCCACCTCCCACTTTATTTTTTTGCTTTATAGCACAATGGTATCACAAAAAGAAAACCTCTACTTGAAATTCAAACCAGTAAAAACAAATGAGAAATTCAATACAAGGAGAAAGGGATGTTAAGGTATTATATATAGGGCAAATAATGATAAAAAAAAGTCCCAGAGGCCTTAGGCAAAAGTCTTAAGGTATTTAATAGAAGCATAAAGAAATTATCTAAAAAGATTGTTAGGGGCCACTGGATCCCTATCCAAGGGCCACAAAGCTACAATCACCTGCCCACTTGAGATGTGATTCCTATGTGGTAAAACTCATGGAGGAGCCCTTGAGTATAGCCAGGGTCTATGCCATTTATGATTTTAATAATCAATAGTGCCAGGTTAAAGTCAACCTGACACTTGGTAGACAGCCAATATCCACAACATGGGGTGGATGTAATATGAACACACCTGCTCCAATCAGTGAACAAACGTAGTATAGTCTGGACTAGCTGCATGCAGCTGAGTTATCCTGCAAAGAGAAATCTCAGTAATTGAGACTTGTGGTCACGAGGGCATTGTACTGCCTGTCATAGTATACAGACCAGACTCTTGTAATAACTGTAATGGGGATCCTTTGAAGCTGTTGGAAAAAAGAGACCCCTTCAAGTTCTCCTTAGCGCTCTAACCCGAGAGCTAATTACTAGCACAGTATTATCACCTGGGGCAATGCCTTGGCCTAAGCCTTGGCCTGGATTCAACAGTACTAGAACAAACTGCTGACTGACTAAACAATAGCAATGCATCTGTAATGGATTATCATGGAATAAATAGGGCTCAAGCCTGAACAACAAAGCATTTTTGTACCAAGTTAGACATATAGCCCACATATGTTCATAGAAAGGGCATGTTAAAAGTAACATTCTTAACCTGACTACCTCTGAACAGAAAAGAGGAAGAAGGAAAATCTAATTAGGTTTAGAATTTCTGAACTACAGTCTCACACTGATGCTAAAGCATCTACACTGTATTACGCAGACCCGAGTCAAACCAGCCTATCCCAAGCTTCCTAGTGCTCTCCCCAGCTGAAGCTGCTCTACACCCCTCTGTTCATGGTGCACTATGGGAAAACTGAACTGTCCACACTGCACCTTACAGGAAGTTGTTGCAGTCCAACGACACATCCTGTCAGGCCATCTTTTGGACATATTGACAGCATTTTCTCACCTACCGAAGGCCCCTGTTGGAGCAGGATGATGACATTCGAGACATGGCAACTTTAACTGGCTGATGCTGTTTGTGACTCCCAGTATAGCCGCTGATGCCCCTATGTAAATCAGCGCTTCTTGAGCAGCACCACAAGCACAGATTGGTGGGATCACATTGTCATGTGGACCTGGAATGACCACTAATGAGAACCTCCACAAGAAGAAAGCTACATTTCTGGAGCTTTGTAAGCAGCTTGTCCCAACTTCCCAGTGTCATGACACATGCAAGAAGATGGTCACAGAAGCAGGTTGCTATATCCACCTGGCTACTCCAGATTGATCCAAGTCCATTGCTAATCAGTTTGGCATTGGAAAGACAACTTTCCAATGGATAAAGTGGCAGTGGAGGTTTCTGAGGCAATCAGGCATGTGATTTACAATAAGGTTGTGGGCTTAAACAATATCCCTGAATTACAGCTGGTTTTGAGAGAATGGGGTTTCCAAAGTGTGCCAGAGTCATTGATGGGATTCATGTGCCCACAGTTGCCCTCAAGGGCACACGAGTACATAAACCACAAATGGTTCTACACTATTGTTATGGAGGTCCTTGTGGACCACAGAGGCCTATTTATGGATGCCAACATGTGCTGCACTGGAAGAGTTCATGATGCCAGGGTTTCCTGCCAATCAGGAGTCTACCTTCATGGTCAGGCCGGGAAACAATGCTCACCAGACAACGCTGGCATAAATGGAGTAACTCTCCCCACTGTTATTCTAGGGAACCCCGCATACTACCTTTTGCCTTGGCTTATGAAACTGTATCCTGATCTCAGAGGCCCTGGCCATAAGGTTTAATTACATTCTCAGTAAGTGTAGAATGGTGATTGAATGAGCATTTGGCAGATTGAAATCCCCCTGGCACCATTTACAGAACTGTTTAGATTCCAGTGTCATCAATGTTGCCTGCACTGTTGTGGCTTCCTGTGCCCTACATAATCTTTGTAAAGCCAAAGGTGAGCCATTTCCCCCTGAACGGACCTATGATGGAAATGGATTGCTGAACCAGAACACTCAGCCAGACAGTGTGCCTCATCATGCGTTTATTATCCAAAATACACATTATCTGATGGGATGCAGTGATGGTAATAAACTCTCTTAATAAAATAAAAGCCTTCATTTGTGAACATGGCAGTATTACAAAAAAAATATTAAAGCACTGTCAGGCAGGCCAGCTGTCATTATTCTATCAAAACAATAGCAATAAACCAACACCAGTTGTAAAACCAGTAATAAAACATAGTGCATAAAATAAACAGTGAACTGTGCAAATAGTGAAACTGGTGACAACAAACAAAACGTCCTACTTTTCCGTGTCCTCTGCCCCCACCGCCAGTTCTCCTTTCCTTTTCTTGCACTTTCGGCACTTGGTGCCACTGCTCAGGGGCAGAGGCCTGCAGGGGGCTATATTTGCCCTCTCCAGTAGTGTGAAGTCCCAGTTGCAGGAGTCACCCAACATAGAATTGTCCAAAACGTTTGCGGTCTGCAGCAAATGGTATCATGGAGGGAACACAGGATGCCGTGCAGCAGCAGCAGGATTCTGTACTCTTCTGATCATTAGCACAAACAGCCTCTCAATAGGTCTTTCTGCTGAGCTCTATCTTTCTCCCTCAAGCAACGTTCTTGCTCCAAAAACCATATTGCCAGTCTCTCCTCATACACTACAATTCTGTCCTCATGCTCTTCAGCCTGTGCCTTTCCACTTGTCATGAATCCTTTTTCCTGTCATATTGCACCTGCTTGTTGGCCCTACCCAGAATATCCTATAAGTTTATCACAAAAACTCCTCCACCGGTCTGTGACAGTTTGAAATCTCAGGCTCCTGCTGCAATGTGGCTTAGCTGGCGAGGTACAAGGGCCTGCAGAGGCTGAAGGACCTGCATGTCCAACAGTACATTATCGTCTCAGTACTTCAAAAATGGTTCAGTGCATCCGCAAAGTGCCTGTAAAATCTCAAAGCCAAAAATTGACACTTCGATTATGCTGCTTCAGTATATTGTAAGAGGAATGCTTTGGTTCCCAGAAGCTCCATGGACACAACAGAGTTAGAGTGAAAAAGAGCACAAACAACGGTAAGTTAAAATTTACAAATGCATTATGTTTAAAGCAATGGTTCTCAACCTATTTACCATTGTGGGCCACATATGCAGCACTCTATGGCCTGGTCTACACTACACAGTTAGGTCGACGAAAGGCAGCTTAAGTTGACCTAATTATGTCAGTGTCTACACTACAGCTGCGTCCCACCAACGTACGTACCCTACAGCACTGACATAACTCCACCTCCACGACAAGCATAAGGCTTACGTTGGTGTAGTTAGGGTGCTGCAGTGTCTGTGTAGACACCCTTACTTACATTGGCTGTTAGCTCTCTTGTCAATGTCAAGGC